GCTTGACCCCGCGCTGCCGCATCGCCAGCTGCCTCCTGCCCGCGCGCTGCGGCCGCGACCCGCCGCCGGGGACTCCCCGCCCTCCCGCGCGACCCCGCGCTGGGTCGGGCGGCGCTTGCAGCAGGCGGGGGGCGGCGAGGGGAGCGGGGGCTCGTCCGGGGATAGCCGCCTCCGCCGCAGCCTGCCGGCGCCTGGAAACCTGGACCTGCCTCCGCGTCTTCCTCCGGCGGCTCCATCGCTCCTCCCGCGCCTCGTCCTCCCGCCGCCCCCGCCGCCACGCCCCCGGTGGCTGCCTGCGAGGCCCCGGGAGGGGGCCCGGCGCGTCCGCCGCCCGCTCGGCGCGGCTCGGCCCGGCCCGGGAAGCGTGCATGCCCCTGCTGCCCGCGGCGTTCACCAGCAGCATGCTCTATTTCCAGATGGTGATCATGGCAGGGACGGTGATGCTGGCTTACTACTTCGAGTACACGGACACGTTCACCGTGAATGTGCAGGGCTTCTTCTGCCACGACAGCTCCTACCGCAAGCCCTACCCGGGCCCGGAGGACAGCAGCGCCGTGCCCCCCGTGCTCCTCTACTCGCTGGCCGCCGGGGTCCCCGTGCTCGTGGTAAGCCCTGGGGCTCGCGCTCGCCTCCGACTCGCTTCTCTTGCCCTCGCCTTCGGGGCTGAGGCCCCGTCGAGGGTCGGGGCGCGGTAGCCTTTGCCATCTAAGTTCCTCCAAGTTGTGGGCAGCCCTTTCCCAGAGAACATTCTTCTGGGGGCTTCAGGGTGGGTGCAGAGGAAGCCCGCATGTCTCCTACATGCCACCCCCGCACCCCCTGCGGTGGCTGCAGTGCTGGTGACCCGGAGGGAAGGGGGCTGTAGGAAGTGATGATGGATAGAGATAGGGGCTGGTGATGAGGTGAGCCACTGGGATGGATTTTTACTTCATCCACCGCGTGGCCTCGCTCCGCTGGCCGCCTTCTCTCAGACTGCGCCTGGAAGGGGAGCAGCCCCGGGCCGGCGGGAGGGAGATGGGGTCAGTTGCTGGGCGTGTAAGGGACTCCTGCTTCCCAAATCGGGCGCTTATTCCTGTTTTACACCTCCTGCCTCTCAGATGAAAGTGTCAGGGGGACTAAGCCGACCAGGGAACAAATATTTTAAAGAGAGTTATAAGAACTCTTAAATGAAGAGACTGCAGCAGCATCCGTGCTGGCTGAAAAGCAGGAGCTGTGCCTAAATTACAAGGTTTATTTAAAGGCTGCTCTGCTCCCTGGGCAGCTTAAACACCTTCCTCTCGGAGCCTCACTGGGAATGCCTTTTGGATTTATGCATTGGGTGTGTGTTTACACAGATACAAGCACACATACTCACACACATACACATACATGATTACTAGGATACTAGTCACATAATTTACATAGGTGAATATGGTGTGAAGTTATTGGTAGGGGAATTAATGGTGTTTCTTCAGGAAACATTACAGTTCCTTTAATATTGTCAAAGTATTGGAGATTCTCTCCCTGTGGTACTGCTTCTGTCTCTCAACAGATAACAAATTGGAAATTAGAAAATGAAAGAGAGGGAAAGGGAAGTTCTTTTCCAGTGGTTGAATGTGTAAATTTCAGTAATGAATGTTGTGAACGCTGGTTGTACCTATTAGATTTGGATATTCATATTTTCTTTGCGTTTAGGATAAATTATTTAATAATTTACAAAATGGAGAATTCCTAACACATGTAATGGAATTCCACTAACAAACCACATAACTCCTCAGTAACTTCAAAGTAACTTTATCACAGGTACTGTGATAGTTGACTTCAACCACAGCTCCAGAATACAGGTTTGAAAAGTGTTAGATCTTGCACCAGAAAATGTTTTGTTTTCTCCTTTTAATATTGTGATTTGTTAAAATACATCGGAAACACCAAATCCAGCTTCGTGTTTGTGTTCCCGCTCCTCCTTTTGAAAAGCTGAAAGAGAACAACAACAACAAAAAAGGCTTTTCTTGGGGCCCTCTCTGCTTTGTGGGGAAGTTGAGTGTTCAGGCCCATGTTTTCTAGGAGATTAAATAGCTCAGAGATTTTTCAAGGATTTTTTAAAAGAAAAAAAATCCTGTCACTTTCAGGTCACTGATTTGGTTGCAACCATATTTAATAATGTTTGGAATGCCAATGATGTCTGGAATGCATCCCTTGGGAATTACCATTCTGTGTCTTATTTAAATGAGGTAGCACTCTTCCCATCCTAAGCTTCCATCCATGGTGGCAGGTGCTAGTTAGAGACAAGAACACATTGGCCCAGAGATTTTGATTTTTTTCTCCACTTAAGGGGAACTTAGGAGGGGGAAAGGAATTAGTTAGTCATTAGTGAGTACCCACTTTGTGCTGGGCACTGAACAGTCATGGCTACATATTTTCCTCAGAGCAGCCCTTTCCGGAGATATTCTCTCTAGTTAATATTTGAGGACACTGAAGATCTGCAAACAAATTGGAAACACCTGAATACAAAAATGGTGGGGCTGGTGGTGCCTGGCCATGGGACTGATGTCAAACACTGCATTGCTTCTACTTCTTCTAAACACTGTTTTCTGAGAGAAGATGAGATGGCTGATGGAGCAGGCATCTAGAATGAAAACTAAGGGACTTTTAAAGGGAGGATCCAACTCGACTTCCTTATTTTGACTCTTAGTTCTTTGGGGATCAGTCTGTAGAGAAGGAAGCATTGGTTTTTAGAGACTAGCTGCACCAGTGGCCTCTGTTTCCCCTCTGGTCTTTGGAGCAGAGTACTCTCACAATGGGAAAAGTTGGGAACAGTAATTTAAGCTCTGCCTTTCCATTCCTCTCAAGAATACTGGTTTAGCACAGTCACTTTGCATGAACAGAATATTAGTAATAATAATGTTATTAGTGCCCATCATTTGTTGAGTCATATTGCTTATGTCCATCTAACATTTGCATTATCTGTGAAAGCAATTATTATTATTGACACCTAATATTTGGGAAAACTGGAGTTTGGAAAGATTAACTTGTCCAAGGACCAGGGCTAAAGTGTAATCCTCCTAATTCTAACTCTGTTCTGTCCAACTCCTAAGCCTGTGCCTTTTCAATTATGATATACAAATTAAGTTTGCTCATAGACCATTCTTCTAAATAATCCATGGTGTCTGTCTCCATCTCTTACATTTGGACTATAGTGATAAAGGTTCTTTATGTTATGTATTTGTTAACCTTCAAAACTAATTTCTGATCCCTTAGATTAATTTTGAAAAGCAATTCTCCTCACTAGCACAATCTGTGATTTTGTTTCATACTTGCTAAATTCATCTGAAAATTAAAAGCAATGTATTTTTTCAGTTTTATCACTTCAGTATGGTGTTGAGTTGGGGTCTAGATTTCGAGCCTAACACATTTGGATTCAGATCCAAAGTATATCCTGCTGATACGTTAATAGTTGGTAACTCTATTTGCTGTGTAACCTTGAATAATTTATTCAAGCTCATTAAGTCTCGATTCCCTAAGTCACAGGATTTTGAATATTAAATTAGATACATAAATGTCATCCTTGGCCCATAGTTGATAAGAAATACATGATACATCACTATATTAGCATTATTAATAAAATAATAATTGAGTAAATGCTTATTGAATTCCTGTGTTGCAAGAAACATATCAGGCAGAGAAGAGGTTATAAGGGAAACTTCAGAAGTAAACCATGGTCACTAACCCTAAGGAGTTTACATACTAATTTGAGAACTAAGGTAAGCATGCCAAAGGTCATAATAAAAGCCATAATAAGAGAAGTGTTATATATGTGTGTGTGTATGAGAAAGAGAAAGATTATAAAAGAATACACACACACACACATACACACACACACACATATATATGTGCATGTATATATATGTATATGTATATATGTATCACAAAGACCTCTGGTAGTTCAGAAGAGGAAGAGATGATCTTTATTGGAGGGGTGAAGAAAGGCTTCATGAATAAAATGGTGACATTTGAGAGCAACTTGTAGAAGATGCCAAAATGGAGTTTGGTTGAGTCAGGACATTACAAAAGCAGCCACATGCAAGCTCATGCAGCTGCTTGGCAGCAGAAAATGCAGGCTGTACTCTTGAAACAGGGTCATTTATTGTGTTTCTAAGAATGGTGTGTGGGGAACACAGCAGGTATGTGGCTGAAGAGGAAGACTAGGGTCTCTTTGATGAGTCCTGGAATAGCAGGGTGAGTTTTTCTCAATTGTTGGGAATTGGAGGGGTGGGTATTGTATGATAGGTGGTGTTTTAGAACATTTTACGGACACTAGAGTAGGGCTCTTCCATTATTAAAATATCTACATAGGAAAATTTTAAACTATTATCCTCCTTAATTGTGCTTTCAGAAAATACCTATAATGTGGGCTCATCTAAACATCTGCTGTTCAGTTTGGTCTGTATAGCATTTGCCGAAGCACCAGGAACAGAATTTACAGATATAAATTTAATTAATGATCTTTAGTGCCCATTGATTTGAAGATCTGGTGATGACAATGGTTTCTGTTCAAATTTGGATGCAGTGGTTGACTAGCATTGTGCCTTTGATCTCTGAGAAGTACACATGGTTTGAAGGAGACAGAGCTAGCCCATTCATCATCACAGAGCGAGAACCAAGTCGGAGAAAACTAGCACCAAGCAGGCAGGCATGAGGGTTAGGGAATATCTGATTCCTTATGTCTGCCTTAGGACTCTGAGACTCTGAGCAGTGTAGCCACTGCTCCTATCCTGAGGGTGTTGTGTGGTGGTGGTAGATGATGACAGAAAGTATCTCACATCCAGAGCTCCACCTTGTGAGATCCAAGTGCCCACTGTTTTCCCACGACTCTCCTCGCTCAACCTTGTCTTGAGTGCCTGCTCCTATGCCCTAACATAAGTTAAGTACTTACATGCTTCACATATGTAAGTAGCAGAGTAGTGCCTAGATATATAGGCATTAGCTACCATTAGTCCTCCCGGGGTTATGATGATTAATCAAGATAACCTATTTAAAGCACCTAACAAAATACCTTTGTGTGTCAGTGGAATTCCAGGGTTGGCAAAATATCAGAGGTAGACAGAGGCCATCTAGCTCAATCCACTCACCTATAAAAGCTGGGGAGTTGGAATGGCAAAAATAATAAAACTCAAGTCAGAACTTATTTTCAGAATTAAGTCGATGATTTCTAACTTTGACGACATCTTCATTTCTTCAAGTGGGCTCACATTAGCTCAAACTTCCAGGCATCAGGCACTGGTTAGGTACATTCAGTGCAGGGCTTCATTTAACGCACAGTACGGTAGTACCTACTGTAAGCATAGGTACTACCTTTAAACACTTATACATGAGAAATCTGATGTCTAGTGAGATTGTATTTTAGACTTGTATTAAATTATTTAAATCCATTAATGTAATTAATTTTCATAGTAAACTTAACAAAGGAGACTTAGATGTAAAAAGGTTAGGTGACCAATCTGGAATCCCACAATCATCAAAACCTGTGCATTTAGTTCTTTTTGTTTTATACCTTTTTTCAAGTACAGTAAACAAATCCTTAAAAGTTTTTTTGTCATAGTGATTCAATACTAGAAAAGTCAAAATTTTC